ATACTTTTTGAAGTTTTTACACAGAACAAAGATTTTTGATTTTAATTCTTAAACTAAGTGTGAACAGTCGTGTTTTATTATGTGAGACATAATTGAACTTATTCTGTGTTTATATGTACAAAACCTTTAGCTGAGACCAGTAACACAGAGCTCTGACCGTGTTAATCAGTGTTGTAAACAAGTCTTCTCTCTACAGGCTGGAGATCTGCTGTACTTTCCTCGGGGAACCATCCATCAAGCCAGAACCCCAGCAGGAGTGAACTGCTCCATCCACTTAACTCTCAGCACCTACCAGAGAATGTAAGCTGCTTCTTCCCCTTTTACCCCGAGCCCTGAAAGGCTGATAGTAGCAGATAAACATTTTGTGAATGTGCTAACTGGAGAACGAGGTCGTTTCAGATTGATACCATAGGTCAGGGGTGTCGAACGGCAGGCTTCGAGGGCCGGTGTCCTGCAGGCTTTAGATCTCACCCTGGGTCAGCACACCTGAATCACATGATTAGTTCTTTACCAGCCTCTGGAGAACTTCAGGACATGTTGAGGAGGTCGTTTATCTATTTAAATAAGCTGTGATGGATCAACACGTCTAAAACCTGCAGGACTCCGGCCCTCGAGCCCTGCAGTTCGAGACGCTGCCGTAGGAGCATCGACTAACTCAGAAGAGTTCAAATTTCATGGCGTTGACCTGAGAGGTTACACTTGAATCCAGTGACTTGACAACAAGGCGATGTAGAATTTTGAAAGTGGTTTGTTTGTTTGTTTGTTTGTTTGTTTGTTTGTTTGTTTGTTTTTACAAAGTATCAACTTTGATAAAAAAAAAGATTCTGTTGAAATCGAACTTCCTTTTCCTTTATCGGCACGTCAGGGAGTAAGTGTGCAGTAAAACTACTTCCCTCTGATCGGCACACGTTGGCCAGAACACTGACATGAACACACTCGTACTCGACGTCTGCTCAGCAGAGTAAAGCAGGTACATCATCAGGTTTTCAGCCAATAAGAAACAGAAGAACTGGTCCTGTTCAAAGCTCCAAACACTGATGACAGACGGGTTTGATGATTGTTTCTGTCGTGCTCAAACTAAACTGGTGTGTGAACGAGATCCAGACCAGTTCTGTTGCTCATCAGTCCCACGCTGTCTCACTGTCCCTGCTGTCAGCTCGTGGGGAGACTTGCTGTTGGACGTATTTCCCAGCTTACTGAGTGACCGCAGCAGGAGGGACGTCAGCCTCAGAGAGGGGATGCCCAGAAGACTCTTACTGGTA